CTGCCCACTGGTGGGCACACAGGGAGGTGCAGTAGGAGGGTATTAAGACGGGGGTGGTTGCTGAGGGTGGACCCTGGGACAGTTCGATTTAGCATCAGAAGGCAGGACTTGGAGGATGTGGAGGGCAGGAGGCATGGGGCCCTCGATTCCACAGACTCACTCCCCCCACCCCCGCCGCCAGATGGGACCCAGTGGAGACTGGTCCTCTGATTGCCAAAGCTAACTTCCTGAAGCCACCCATCACAGTCTTCTTTACTCTGCAACCTTCGCTGCCTCCCCACTGTGCTGGGACCAAACCTACCTCTTCCTTTGGGGTTCAGGGCCCTCCGACCCCCATTTTTCTCTTTACCCCACCAAGGCCCCAACCCCTCGCCCCTCCTTGGGGGTGGGGCCATCTCTTACCAGCTGTAGACCTGACATGCGCTTCCTGTAGTGGCCCCTCCAGCTGTTTCCTGCGGAGCTCAACTAAGGGGTTCGGTTCCATCTGCGAGCCTCTGAGTGAGGCCACCACAGTGTCATCCCTTGCTCCACCCCCAGCCCTGCCCCGCCCCGCCCCGCCCCAGCAGCCTTGTCTTTAAGCCTTGGAATTCCTTCTTTAACCAAAAAATATATATATATTTTTAATTTTAAAAACTGGTTTCGGGGCGCCTGGGTGGCTTAGTCGGTTAAGCGTCCGACTTTCGCTTAGGTCATGATCTCGCGGTTTGTGGGTTCGAGCCCCGCGTCGGGCTCTGTGCTGACAGCCAGCTCAGAGCCTGGAGCCTGTTTCAGTCTGTGACTCCCTCTCTCTCTCTGACCCTCCCCTGCTCACGCTGTCTCTCTCTCTCTCTCTCTCTCTCTCAGAAATTTAAAAAAAAAAAAAACTGGTTTCATGGGACACCTGGGTGGCTCAGTCAGTTAAGCGTCTGACTTCGGCTCAGGTCATGATCTCACAGTCTGTGGGTTCAAGCCCCGCGTCGGGCTCTGTGCTGACAGCTCGGAGCCTGGAGACTGTTTCAGACCCTGTGTCTCTCTCTCTGCCCCTCCCCTGCTTGCACTCTGTCTCTCCGTCGCTCTCTCAAAAATAAATACTCATTAAAAATTTTTTTTAAATAAATAAAAACTGGTTTCATTTGATATGCTTTTTGGTATTGTTTCCATGTTATAAACTAACATAAGCCATACAAATGATACAAGATAGAGGGCATCTCCTGGTCCTATATCCTGTTAACAATCTTTCAGATTTTTCCCTCATGCAATTTTTTCCTTTCCCCCTCTCCATTTCCTCCTTCCTCCCTCTCCTCCCTTCTGCCTCCGTTTTTCTTTAAGTTCTAGCTGGAGGGAAAAAATCCCGACACTCCAATATCCCAGTATTAGTGGAAAATCTGCAGATCATACACAAATGGAATAATTAAAACAGGTACTCAAATGCAGAAATGTGGTCGGTTGGAAACCTCGTTGAACTTCTGCCTTGCTCAAAAAGAATTACAAAAAAGGCAAAATTGTGTTTTTCATATAGACTTAAATATGGCTTAGACTTGAATACAGAATAAAACAGGTACTCCAAACTGCGTTTCTTTCCCCAGTTTTTAAGATTTTGAAATTTATTTTTATTGTGGCAAAAACCACAGAAGATTTACCACTTAACCCATTTTGGTAGTGTTGAGTACATTCACACTGTCGTAAAGTATCTTCGGAACTTTCTTACCTTGCGGGTCCGAAACTCAAAATCTACTAAATGGCAACTCCGAATTTCTCCTCCCCGCCCCCACCCCGTTTGCCATTCCACTTTCTGTTCTATGAACTTGAGTACTCTATCTAGGTGGTTCACGTAAGTAGCATCATACAGTATTTGTCTTTTTTTTAAATATTTTATTTATTTTTGAGAGAGAGATAGAGACAGTGTGAGCAGGGAAGGGTCAGAGAGAGAGGGAGACACAGAATCTGAAACAGGCTCCAGGCTCTGAGCTAGCTGTCAGCACAGAGCCCGATGTGGGGCTCGAACCCACGAACCGTGAGATCATGACCTGAGCTGAAGTCAGACACTTAACCGACTGAGCCACCCAGGCGCCCCAGTATTTGTCTTTTTTTTGACTGACTTATTGCACTTAGCATCGTGTCCTCGAGGTATATCCATGTTAAAATTGTTTCATGTAGAAAGTAATCGGTTGTCTTATTAAAAAGAAAAAGGAAGCAAGAAGTGAAAGTCCCAGGGGCGCCTGGCTGGCTCAGCTGTTTAAGAGTATCTGACGTGTTTTGGACTCAGGTCATGATCTCACGGTTCATGGGCTCAAGCCCCGCGTCAGGCTCTGTACTGATGGCTTCAGAGCCCGATTGGAATTCTCTCTCTCTCCCTCTCTCTGTGCCTTCCCTGGTCAAACTCTCTCTCTCTCTCAAAATAAATAAATAAACATTTTTTTAAAAAGTACATATTTTTCAAAGTGAAAGCCCCACCTCCATCAGGGGGTTCATGGGCACACCCCCGTCCCCTCTGTTCTGTGTCATTTCATCAACTTAAAGATACCATCAATTTGATTATAAGACAACACGATTTCAGAGGAGTTAAAATATTTTTTTAAAAAAACGCCCTAGGAATAGATTTTACACACACACACACACACACACACACGCCCCTGCACGTTTAGAATTATTGTCACTGGGCTCTTTGCCTAGTTCTCTTGCTTCAGCAGCCACACAGACCTCTGGCTTCCTTTTCTCATACCGACTCTACCGCAGGAGCGTCCCCCCACCCTGCCTGGCTGCACCCTCGTCCCTCCCATCAGTCAGGCCCCTCTGGCACCGGAGAACCATCCTGTACTTGTGCCCACGTGTGGGATTCCTAAAAGTAGAAGGATGTTTAAAATTTTGATTGACATCAGTTTGCTTTCCCCAAAGCTTGTGCCGGTAGAGTCAGCTGGTACCTACAGCTTTTGAGAGGGCCTTTCAAGCAACTTTGAAGGCAGAACCTCTGACCCAGCACCCATCCCTCCCACAGATGCGGAAACTAAGGTCCCAAGAAATAAGGACCTTGTCTCATGTCACAGGCGGCAGAGCTGGGCCTAGACCCAGGCCTTATTATCCTGGCTGTTGTCGCTCAGAAATCACCCACCTGAAGCAGTCTCCCTCTCTTGCTCAAACACCTTCCATGGCTCCTTAGTACCTACAAGACAAATTCTAACTTCAACTCACCACCATCTGGGGCTGCTACCTTCAAGGTCATGAGTTCAGACACTGCATGGTCCTCATCTCTGTCTTGCTACATTATCAGGCACCTACCACCATGTGCCAGTCAGTCTCCATGAATAAACACACCACTTCTACCTGTTGTGACCGAGAAAAGAGGAAGAATTGAAAAGAAACAAAAGTATTCCTTTGGGGTCTGAGAATTGCAGTTTGGGGAGCACAGATTCAGGGAGCAGCCTAAACTGTGTCCCGTTGAGGAATAAAAGCCAGGGAGGGGGTCTTTATTAGCAAATTGTAGAAGTATTAGAAGACCACACAAGCTGTTTTCCAAACATTATGACTGGAAGAGAGAATGACATTTTATTTATTTTAAAAAAATTTTTTGGGGACGCCTGGGTGGCTTAGTCAGTTAAGCATCCGACTTTCGCTTAGGTCATGATCTTGTGGTACATGGGTTCAAGCCTCGCATTGGCCTCTGTGCTGACTGCCAGCTCAGAGCCTGGAGCCTATTTCAGAGTCTGTATCTCCCTCTCTCTCTGACCCTCCCCTGCTCACGCTGTCTCTCTCTCTCTCTCTCTCCTAGAAATAAAAATATTTAAAAAACATTTTTTTTTGTTTTATTTATTTTTGAGACAGAGAGAGACAGAGCACAAGTGGGGAGGAGCAGAGAGAGAAGGGAGACACAGACTCTGAAACAGGCTCCAGGCTCTGAGCTGTGAGCACAGAGCCTGACGCGGGGCTCGAACCTACAAACCGCGTGATCATGACCTGAGCCGAAGTCGGACACTCAACCGACTGAGCCACCCAGGCGCCTTGAGAATGACATTTTAAAGTGCGTCAATGTTCTAGTACCTTACGACAGTTACTAGGAAAATAATCAGTTTTTTCTCAAGAATGAGGGTGTAGCAGTTCTGTATTCAGTCATATGCGTTTGTCTAGTTTAACAGTTCAGTGGCTCCTGTGTCAAAAGCTGGATGACGTTTTCATCCGCAAACGAGGTTTCACGTTCAGGGATTTTTCTCAGGCTCACGCTGGGGACCTCAGGCGAGCTATCTTACAGGTGTGACCCTCCCTTCCTCCGTGTTTAAGGATCCACAGACCCGGACTGAGCCCCTGCGCCTGACGCGGTGAGTGCTCATGAATGCGAGGTGTTCTTTTTATCAGGATTGGCGGTGCCCCATCTGGGTACCCACGTCCCCATTCGGCATTCTGAATGTGCCACAGTCTCGTGCTCACCTCAGGGGAGCTGCTTTGATGGGGGCGGAGCTGATATATATAATCTGCACAACTACAAGCTGGGAAATGGGTACATGGACCGTCTTTGGGGTCCTGAGAGAGTTTTAGTTCCAGACGGGTTCTTGGACCCCTTCTTACAGGGGAGGAGGAGTTCCAGGTGGGTCTCGGCCCAGGGGCCTCTGGGCAGGATCTGAGGAGGGGCAGGTAGTAGGGGGGTGGGGGGAGGAGAGGATTGTTCTAGCCAGCCAAGCCCCCGGAATCCACGCATTGGTTGCCTCCCGCGCTGGGTCTGGCCTCTCTCTGCCAACAGTTTGCTGTGGGATTTTCCACAAAGAGCCTCTTCTCTCTGGGTCTCAGTTTCCCCAGCTTCCTACAGGAAACCCGGTTGTGGCGACGTGGGCACACGGAAGGTCAGGCAGGAATGGAAAACCCTCTGCAGACTGCTACGTGCGGTGCTGCCCGGGGTTGCCCGGCCCTGGCTTCCCAACAGGGCTCACTCGGGTCCAGGGCCCCCTCCCTCCGTCCGTCCCTCCCTCCCTCCCGGCCGCTCCCCCTCCCTCCTCCCCCCCCCCTGCCCTGGCGGAGCGCTGGCTCCCGGCATGCTGCGCGCTGCCGACAGCCTTATAAATAGTCGCCTTTGCGGGCGGCCGGCGAGGACGGGCAGGGCACCACTGGCCCCGGCGCCCGCCGCACCCCTCCCCCAGGTCAGTGTGTGCCCGCGTGCATGTCTGGGCGAGCGGGGGGCGCCTCTGCGGGGAGTGGGGGAGCCGCGCGCGCGCCCCCGGGGGCGCCAGGCCGTGTGTGCGGGGCATCCTCGGGGCTCGTGCGGCTGTGTGTTTGTATCCGTGGTTACACCGTGTGCGCGTTTGCCTGCCTGTGCTTCTCTGGCTCTGCTCTGGGTATTCGTGCCACCCTGTGTGGGTGCCCATGTCGGGGGGGTGTGCGTGGCAGTCCCTTCTAGCCTCCCAGACAGTTGCCTCTTTGTCCCTGCTGGCACCCCTGGGGCTGGGGCTCCTGGTCCCTGCCCTTGGCACGTCCTGGCTGGGGCCCAGGGAAGGAGGCTGGGGCCCGACTCCCTGCCCCGGAGGACCTGGCGGGTGCAGCCTTTGTCATTGGAGGAGCTATCCTGCCACGTCGTTTGGAGCCCTGGAGGGACAGGAAGCCCCCCCCCCCCCCCCGTGATGGGTGAGGGCTCTAAGGCAGCCCTACGGCTACCTTTTCTGAGCACTGCTCAGATATCCACTCAGAATTCTCCAGCAGGAGCAGGAAAGGGCCTGAGGGGTACAGGCCCAGAGAGGGGACACCAGCTGCCCAAGGTCACACAGCTGAGCCATGAGCCCCTTGGGTCGCTGTCCCTCTGGGCCTCTGTCCCACAGGCCCCTCGGCAGACCACCCAGTCATGAGGGGAGTTGCCGCAGCCTGGATCAGGGGCCTTATAAGGTCTGGGTGCTGAGCCTGTAACCCAACTCCATCCCGGACCCCTGGCCTCTGTGAGGCCTCCTCACGACTCAAGTTATTTTGGACCAAGGAAGCGGCAGGTGCCAGCAGAGGGCCTTAGGTTACGGGGGAGAGGCAGGGCAAGGTGGGTTGGAGGCCACTCCTCAGGGTCGGTGCAGGCTCTCCCTGGCCTGGGGACCCTCCTCCTCCCTTGCCAGCTGCTACGGGGCGTTGGCAGCGCCTGCCCTTCCCTAAGCACACTCAGCAGGAAAAGGGCTATAACTCATGGCCCGCGAGCAGTGGGACGGCCAGCAAAGCTGCTGAAAGACCTACTGGGTGCCAGGCCTAAAGCAGCAGAAAATGCAGCCCCGAGTTTGACCCCAGCCAGGCTCTGGAGCAAGTCTCTACTCCGCTCCAAGCCTCAAATCCCTTCCAAGACAGCTGTGAGGTGGAGTGAGGCCCCCAGCCCTCTGCTCAGCCTGGGGCCAGGCCCTGTCCAGACGGCCGCAGTTCAGCAGAGAGGTCCGATAGTGTGTGGCGTGTGCGACGCTGGGGGGCGTTCAGAGGAGCCAGTGTGGGAGTGGAGGATGGAGTCCAGGAAGACTTCCTGAAGGAGGTGACAGCTGAACGGAGTCTTAAACAGTAGCTCCTGGTGAGAGGCATCCAGGCATCAGGTGCAACAGTAGCTGGGGCCCAGAGGTGGGATCTCCAGGCAGTTCAGGTGGTGGCTGTGAAGGCTGCGGGGGTAGGGGTGGGGGCACAGGCTACTGGGCCCTGTCAGCCACGTTAGGGGGCCCACGGTTTATCTTGGGACCCAAGGGGGCCACGCGTGGAAGGGTTTTAAGCAGGTGATTGATGTGGTCTGATGCTGATCACAGAAAATCCTGCAGGCTGCGCGGTGGGGTGTGGGGGTCGGGAGACCCATGGGATGCTGGGCGGTGGCCAGTGTCCTGCTTGGAACAGGGAAGTGGTGGTGAGGACACAGACTGGAGAGAGTTTCGAGAGCAAGAGGCTTGGGACGTGGGTGTGCAGGGTGGAGGTGGCATGTGGAGAAGACGGAGGCCTCTGGCTGGACAGTAGGGCACGGAGCTGGGGAAGTGGGTCTGTGGGGGTCGACCCTGTCCAGGGGCTGTAGGCTTATGGGGCTGGGGAGGGAGGCCGGGGCTGGCTGGGCAGAGACGGGGGTCCTGGGAACCCGAAGCCAACAGCGAGAGCGCGGAGTAAGGGGCCTGGGGTTGCGGGCAAGCCAGGCGGGAGGAGTGCTGTGTCGGGGGGTCAGAGGTCAAGGCAAGCGTGGCTGTGATGGTCGCTGGTGGCCTTGGGGCAGGCCGGGGGGGTTGGGGATTGGAGGCCAGAGGTGTGTCAGGGGTAACTGTAGGTGGAAGGGGAGGGTGAAGCAGAATGGGGTCCCCGGAGGGATTGGGGTGGACTCACATGCCGGGGGTGGGGGGGAACATAGGCTGTGGAATGCGATCCTCAGGGGGGTGAAGGGGCAGGGGCCATTGGGGGGAGTGACAGCCGGTGACAACCGTACAGGGCTGTGTCCCCATGAGCAGCTCCTACGGCTTCCTCCCCCTCAGACCTCTGTGTCCCTTTGAGCATCCTTGTCCAAACCCCACGTGGGTGGGACAGATTGCAGCTCAGGTCCCTCCTCCGGCCTCCACAAGTCTCCTCCTGCTCCCCCCTTCCCCCCCTCTGGGGGAGCATCACCAAGGTGTTGAGCAGACACCTGTTGTTTGGGACAGGCAAAGGGAGTGGCTCAGCCATAGCTGATGTCACTGTTTCCGTCCCTCAGCACTGTCCTCACCACCTGGCTCCTCTGGCGGGAAAAGTTGGACCGGAGGGGGCTGCCTTTTGTAACAGGGGGGGCAGTGGAAACACACCGAGGAAAGGTGACTTTCCCAAGGTCACCTGACTTGCGGGGGCCCTTCCCTGCACCGCTGGGAGCATCTGGGCCTGGCGCACACCGTGTGGCTGGGCCCGAGCAGAGGCAGGTGGAGGAGAGGCCCCCTCACCCGCCCCACCTGTGCTCTTGTCTTGCAGAACGCTGACTCGGCTCCCCGGACCTCAGCAGGATGGAAGGTACTGGGGCTCTTCTTTCCTGCTCGCTGCCTGGGCCTCAGTGTGCCCATCCGTTAAGGGGGTGCGCTTTCAGGAGACATCCTGGGAAGGGTTAGAGGGGGTTCTGGGGCTGCCAGAGGGGCCTGGCTGGGAGCCTCCGGCAGCCTCCTCAGGCACCTCACGGGATGTGCCAGCTCCGGGATTAATTTAGAAGCAACGAGGCCTGCTTGAGGCTCCTGAGGGCCCCACAGCTCACCTCCTACACTGGTATTTATAGAGCTGAATCCCTGCCTCTTTCTAGAAAGGGTGGGCGCTGGCAAGGGGAGGCTAGCCCTGGGGAGAGGCCCCAAGTGTGCAACTGCCAAGCCTAACACGGACAAGGCAGCGTCCAACGCCTCCGTGGGACTGAGTTTCCCCGTTGTCCAGAGGGGGTGGGTCTTGAGGATGCCTGGGGCCGCCCTGGCTGCTATGGGCTGGGACCTGGAGGGTGACATGGGGCCAGCAGAGAGCCTGGCCGGCCGCCTCCTGGCAGCCTCACTGCCCCTTCGCTGGCGTTGTGCCTCAGCCTGGGCGGCTCTTAAAGGAGCCCGCTGCTGCTGCTGCCCGAGTCGGCGGTGGCCCTGTCACCCCGTGGGCTCCGAACACCAGCTGCCACTGGGCCATGGCCTCCCCCACCTCCAAGCGGTAGCCGGCACATGGCAGGCAGTCCATTGGGGCCTACGGGATAAATTGTGCCTCAGACCCCACCTCTGGGTTTCCTGCCTCAGGACCACAGGAACCCTAGGAGCTGCCAGACCTTCCCCAGTGGGGAGGGACCCAGAGCCCAAGAGGGGTGGGGACTCCTTTCCTAAGTCCCCTAGGACACAGTGAGGGCCTTCTTTTCTCCCCTGAGAAGAGGGGAAGGCCGGGCAGCCTGGGAGGAGGGCCCGGCCTCTAGTCCTGGGTCTGGCAGCCTTGGAGCAGGCCTCAGTTTCCCTCCGTCTGGCGAGGCTGTGGTCTTGCCGAGTGCTAAGGGCCGGCGAGGCCGAGGTGGCAGCCTCAGCGCGCCTCCCTCTCTGCGCCAGGGTTCTGCGTGCCCACCGCAGCCTCTTCCCTGGCAACCGTCGCCGGGGCAACCTGTGTTGTGGTTGCCGACTCCGCGTTGGTGCCGCCCGGGGAAGGCGGGCGATGGGCAGGCCCAGGGCCTGGGAGGGGAAGGGTAGGGGACCCAGCAGGACGGGACCATGGGGGCCTTCTGCTCCAGAAACCGCCGCAATGTGGAAGACTCTAAGGCCAGAGGTGACCCGCTGCTGCCCAGGCCGCCCACAGGGAGGGGCAGCCGGGGTTGGCATCTGAGCGCCTCAGAGCTGCCTCGGCCTCCAGGCCTTTACCTCTGCCGGTCCCTTTGCCTGGAAACACCCCCTCCTCCGTGACTTCTGAAGTCTGCTCCCCGCCCCCGTCACGGCTCACTCTGGGCAGGAGCGTGAGCTGTGTCTGTCCCTCTGCCTCGGGCCGGCCCAGGCCTGAGACTCCAGGGGCGCTATTTGCCAAGCAAGTGACTGAACTCTGCTCCCCTTTTCTACCCCACAGAGAAGCTGAAGAAAACCAAGATCATCTTTGTGGTGGGTGAGTCCAAGGCAGGCGGGTGAGGCGGCGAGCAGGGAGGCTCCTGGTGGGAGCCTGGGCCCGGGGCTGCACCCCGGGTGCTGCCCCTCCTCTGCGGGGTGACCCTAGCCCTGCGGTGGCCCCATTTCCTGGGGCTTCTGAACGGGTGGGCGCTTGCAGGAGGGCCCGGCTCGGGGAAGGGCACCCAGTGTGAGAAGATTGTCCAGAAGTACGGCTACACCCACCTCTCCACCGGGGACCTCCTGCGGGCCGAGGTCAGCTCGGGCTCGGCCCGGGGCAAGAAGCTGTCGGAAATCATGGAGAAGGGGCAGCTGGTGCCACTGGTGAGTGGGCCAGGGGGGTGGGCGGGTCCTGGTGGCCCTGAGTGGGCTCCAGCCAGCAGAGCCCATGACACTCTGCCTTGACCTTCCCTGGCTCCAAACATTCCCTGGCTTTGGTCCTCATGGCCCTTGGCAGCAAATTCCTTCTAGAGCTCCCAGAGTCTCTAGGACACTGCCCTGCTGACCCCTTCAGCCTCATGCCGCCCACTCACCCTCCCCTCCCCCTGGCCCCCTCAGCTGTCCACCCTCCAGCTGCCCTGGCCTTTCTGTCCCGTCAAACTCATTACATTTCTTCCTGCCTGGAATGTTCTTTCCTCCTCAGCTTTCAGACCCTCCTGGCTCCACAGATTTGAGCTCAGACCCCCTAATGTTATAACTCCTTCTCTGCCCACTCAACCTTGTTTGGAAATTGATGAACGAGCCTCACCACACTGTGAGCTCCTTGGGGAAGGCCTGCTTTGTTCACAGTGTGGGCCCTGGACAGGAGCTGGTGGGGATGAGGGGCTCAGTCAATATTATTGAATGAATGAATGAATGAATGAATGAATGAATGAATGAATGAATGAATAGATGGATGAATGGTTTGATCAACCAGTCAAGTCTTCACATTCAAAGGGAGCTTCCTGGGGAGAGAGGCTTGTCTGGTACATCTTTCGTAGGGTGGAGGCCTAGAGGAAGGGGGAGGGGGCTTATGACCCCTTCATCTTTTCCCGTGCCCCCAGGAGACAGTGTTGGACATGCTCCGAGATGCCATGGTGGCCAAGGTCGATACCTCCAAAGGCTTCCTGATCGATGGCTACCCTCGGGAGGTACAGCAGGGAGAGGAGTTTGAACAGAGGGTAAGGTGCAACCTGGGGGGTGCATCTGAGAGCTGTGATGTGGGGTGGCCAGGTAGAAAGAGGCTGCCGTGATGGCCACACAGAGTTTGGGGCAGAGAGAGAGAGAGAGACACCGATTGTGGGGTTGGGGTGGAGAGAAGGATAAGGAGGGAAACCGGAGAAGACTTTCTGGAAGTCTTTCTAGAAGTGGAGAAGAAAAGTCTAGAAGAGGAGGAATCACAGGCTGGGGAGCTCACAAACCTGTGGTCAGCTTCCACTCAACAGGGCCGAGGCCAATCATTCTGCCTCCCTGACCTCATTTTGCAAAGGGGGTCGGACACAGGTGGAGGCTGTCTTAAGGAGCAGAATGGCGATTAGAGAGAATGCGCCCTTCAAACGCGGGGCTTGCCACCTTATAAACACAGAGTCAGAGGGGCAGGGAGTGGGAGGGGTGGGGCTGGAGGGGTGGGGTGTGGGGAGAACAGACACTATGGGACAGGGCACCCAGGATGATGTGGGAGAGGTGATTCGGGCCTCCAGTGCCAGGGAAGGGAGTCCGGTCTCCTTCCGTGGGCCACGGGGAGTCTGGCCGTGGGCTTTGAGGAGGGCGGCTCCGAGCTGCCTGAACAGAGGCCCACCAGGGAGCCAGGGTGGGGGCGCCTCTCCCAAATACACACACACAGACACCCAAGCACATGCACACGTGCGTACACATACACAGCACAAGCACACCGGCACGCCTACGGGTGCACACACATCTGGCAATGCACATGCACGCACATGCATGTACATACGTGGACTCAGCTCACTTATACACACGTGTGCACATACCCCATGTCTCCCGTGTCACAGGTCATACTAGGAAAACAGGGCTGCAAGCGAGTGTCAAGGAGGGAGAGGTCGGCAAGGGGGTGGGGTTGGACTCAAGGAGGGTTTCTTAGCAGAGGGACTCCTTCCTGCCTTGTGGGGAGCACCGGGCATCCCGACAGGCTGGGGCAGGACCAGAGCCTGGCCCCACTTCCCGAGGCTGTGAGGCTGGGCCATCATTGGGCTCCCATAGCTTTGAGCCTCATCCAGTAGTAGGAGATTGTATTTCCTGACCTTAAAGTGCCGTCAGGACCTCAGGAAAGTGCCTTCCCTGCTCTGGGCCTCGGTTGCCCTATCTCTGAAATGGAAGTGGGCTGGGCCCCCTCAGACTAGGAAGCCATGGACCCTGTGGTCAGGTGCTAGGCAGCCTCGAAGCCTTCCTGGCATGACCCACACGTACCAGCTGTGTGAGGTCACCTCCGATCTTCAGGGCCACATTTAGGAAATGAGATTACTCAATGAGACTCAGGAAATGAGACTCCTGCCTGGGGCTGCTGTGGGCGCCACTGTGGGCGGTGGGCTCGGCACCAGGGCCCAGCTCTGCCATGAGCTCCGGGGGTCCGGGCAGCTGGTCTTCTCAGATCTGGACACCAGGGGGCATCAGGGCCTCACCGAAAGAGGACAGGTCTGCCTCCTTCCCTCTTGCCCTTCCCCGGTGGATGAAATGCTTATTCCCATGACAGTGACACTGTTCAGAACCCCCCCAGAGCTCAGCAGCCCATCACCCCTCAGTCAAGTCCTTGTCCAGCCCTGCTGTGTCACATAGATGCCTCGATGTCCTTAGGGGCTCCTGGACTAGCAGGAGGGAGAGGGACAATCAGTAAATAGCCAGAGGCCGCCTGAGACGTCCTGGGTGGGGAGGTAAAGGGGACTAAAGAGTGTGCCCCCAGAGAGCTGGGGACGGCGGGGGGCGGGCTTGCATCTGGGCAGACTGCCTCCAGTGGAACGAGGTTTTAGCTCAAATCTGAAGGCCGGTGCTTGGTATTGAGGGTGAGGATTCTTTTTTTTTTTAAATATCTTTTAATGTATATTTATTATTTTCGAGAGAGAGAGACAGAGCATGAGTGGGGGAGGGGCAGAGAGAGAGGGAGACACAGAATCTGAAGCCGGCTCCAGGCTCTGAGCTAGCTGTCAGCACAGAGCCCGATGCGGGGCTCGAACCCATGAACCGTGAGATCATGACCTGAGCTGAAGTCAGCCGCTTAACCCACTGAGCCACCCAGGCGCCCCGAGGGTGAGGATTCTTGGCATGAGCGAAGGCCTGGCTTGGGAGGAGGTTGTCAAGAGCCCAGACTACAGAGAATCGGTGTGACTGAAGCAAGGAGAGCAAAGAAGTGGGAAACACAAGACGAGGAGTGTGGGAGACCCTCTCTGAGGGCACTGGGGAGCTATGGGAGAGGTTGGAGCAGAGGAGTAGTTTTAGGAAGGTCCTTTAGGCTGCCCAGAGGACAGTGTAGTCTGAGTGGGCCTCGGGTGAGGCCTCAGACGTCGGAGGATGGGGAGGGGATGGCCCCAGGGGCCAGGAATGGGGCCCCTGTGACTACCGCCCTCCCCGCAGATTGGACAGCCCACGCTGCTGCTGTATGTGGACGCAGGCCCTGAGACCATGACCCAGCGGCTCCTGAAGCGCGGAGAGACCAGCGGGCGCGTGGACGACAATGAGGAGACCATCAAGAAGCGACTAGAAACCTACTACAAGGCCACGGAACCCGTCATCGCCTTCTATGAGAAACGTGGCATCGTCCGCAAGGTGCGCCCCCTGCGGGCCGCGGGTAGCCCCAGGAATCCGGAGGTTTGCCGGGCTTGACCAAAATCCCTGTGACCTTGGGCCAGCCCTCCATTCCGGGCCTTGGTTTCCCCACTGGTTCCGCGACGGGCTGCTGTCCCCGCTGGCTGGGCTCAGAGAGCCAGGCCACGCTGCCGGGGGGAAGTGAGCCCCCGCCCCGGTGCAGCCCACGGGGCCCCTCCCCAGCATCTCTGCCCTTCCGGCGGTCTCCCTGCAGGTCAATGCCGAAGGCTCCGTGGACAGTGTCTTCTCCCAAGTCTGCACCCACCTGGACGCCCTCAAGTAGCAGCACTGGAGCCCCTTCCCCGGCTGAGCCCCGCCCCACCCCTGTGCTGACTTGAGGCTGTCCTGGCCTGAGCTCAGCGCCTCCACCCTGCCCGGCTGGAGCACAGACAGAGGAAGCCACTTTATCCTGTTTTCATGGACAGCCAGCACTAAAGGAATTTCCAAGGACATTTGGTTTTATTCCTTTTTCTTTGCTTTCACTGGAGTTGAGCCACGTGATAAGGCCTCCGGTAGCCCCTCGCCCTCCCAGTCCTCCTCAGGGCCCTCAGCCCGCCTCGGCCATGTACCAGGGGAAGGAAGACCCAGGGCCCTTCCTCACCCGGGGCATGCCGGGTCGGGGGGTCCGGGGTGACCGAGCCAGGATCCTTGCTCTCAGGGACCTGGGGTCAGGCAGAGCTGGGCCCCAGCCTGGGTTCCTCGGAACTCTTGCTGTGCGGCCTTGGCCCTGACCCCTCATGTCTCTGAGCTTGTTTGCTATACTTAACCCCACTGGGGCCCCAGACAGTGAGGCCATGGGCTGTGGGCGGCTTCCTGGGCAGCGGGGACAGCACATGTCAGCTGGCCGGGTGGGCAATGGATTGGCCTCCTATGAGTAAGAAGCTCTGAGCGTCTGAAAAGGGCATCGAGATGCAAAAGTCAGCGGTACCTCCCCGAGGAAGTGACGCGAAGCCCCGCCCGCCGGACGTCCCTGGACAGGACACAAGCTGTCCTTTCTGAGCCCATCTCCGAACCCGAGTTAGGGTCCGTGCCCCCTGCACCCCTTACCTCCCAAGGTTAGGATGAGAACACACTGAACGAGGGCACGGGCTGTCAGTCACCGGGGCCTGTGGGAGCCGAGCCCAGAGCAGCCTTGGGTGCTGGGGGGGGGGGGTGCGGGGGGCGCCCCAGACTCCCTGGGGAGAGGGAACCATCTTCCCTTTTCTGTTCTTCCACTCTGCGACCTCATCACAGAGGAAGGCTCAACTTGGTGCTCACGTGTCCTTAACACCTGTCCTGGTCCCTGTTGCCTCCCTTTAGAGCCACGAGAACCTTCCGCAGCCACACCTGGCTGGGACAAAATGCCGCTTGAGGCTGATGGTGCCCATGGTGTGTCCCCTTTTATTTATGGCAAGTGCGGCTGGTTTTCCTTCTACGTTAGTTATTTAAACTTTCCTTTAAAATAAACATATTTAAGTTATAAAAGGTGAGTCTATTGAAAGAGTAACACAAAACATCAATGTTAGCACAGGGGAGGTAGGAGAAGGCAGGCATCATGGGGGGTGAGCCTTCTGTTGGGGGGCGGGGGAGGCGGGAGGGGAGGTGGACTCTGCTGGTCTCTGTTCCTTGTGCCAGCAGGGGTGTGTGGGGCGGGGAGCCTCGATCTCTCTGTGACCTGCCCCCTCCGGCAGCAGGCACGTCCGTCCCAGCGGGCTAACACACCTGGCGCAGGGCTGCCCAGGGTGGCGTGAGCTGGGAAAACGGACCGAAGGTGAGATCACCTGACAGAAGCAAGGTCATTAGCTTTATTTTGTTGCTAATTACTGCATCATCAGTTCAGGGGTGTCCCTGCTGAATGACAGTCTAAGCTGACCCCAACCATTATGCGTGTAAAACAAAAGGCGACTTGAAAAACGACACAGAAATGTCAGAGTTCCAGTAACCACCACCCCAGTCCTTGCTACCACAGACCTTCCTTTGAGGGTTTCCTTTGTGCCTGTCTGTTCAACTTAGTTTTCCAGAGCACCGGCCACGGGGGTGTGCGGGATGGGGTGGGGGGGTGGGGGCAAGACAGAGTTCATAAGTCGCCACCTGCTGTGATGTGCCCCACCCCATCCCAGCACCAGGAGGGAACCGGAGCTTACAAAACCGAGACCAGTTTTGTTTTTAGCAGCTGAGGGCACAGGGGGGCCCCTGGTGGCAGCCGGTTCCTTGAGCTGGAGCTCTGGAGTGGGGCCTTGAAGATTCCTAGGAGCTCACTTCACCATGAGCAGGCATGGAAGGGGAGAGAGAGCAGCTCTGCAGAGTCACAGAGGCCTGTTGTATGGAAACAGGTGAGAGTGAGGTGCAGTAGCAAGAGACGAGCCCGGAGGGGCCAGATTTGCAGGGCCTTGAATGCCGACCCAAGCATCTAGTCTCTCCCCTAGGGGCAATGGGAGGCTCAGAAAGAGGACTTTTTTTTGTTTGTTGGTTTGGTTTTGGCTTTTCTGTTTGTTTTGGTTTTTTAATATTTATTTTTGAGAGGAAGAGCATGAGCAGGGGAGCGTCAGAGAGAGACACACACACAGAATTGGAAGCAGGCTCCAGGCTCCGAGCTGTCAGCCAGAACCCGATGCGGGGTTCAAGCTCACAAACCATGAGATCATGACCTGAGCTGAAATCTGATGCTCAACCGACTGAGCCACCCAGGTGCCCCATTAATGAAAAATCACAAACAAACTGAAAATTGGAGGAAATAAAACAGTGAACACCATACAGTAATTATCATTTCCCTATATTTCCTCATCACTGTTTTACTTTTACTTTTTTACTCATTTACAGTAAATTACCAATGAGAAAAACTCCACCCCTGAAGTATGACGCTAAAGAACAAGGGCATCTTCCTACCTCACCACAACTCAGAGTTTCAACAACACTAAGTTAACACTAATATCACAATAAATAATAAGCAGTCCACATGCAGTTTGCCCCAGTCATCTCCCAAATGCATCTTTGTTCAAATCAGGGTGCTACCCAGGACCACGCGCGACACTTGGCTGCGGTATCTGTCGGGTCTCTGTTAACCTGGTGGTGACACTGGCCTGTGGAGGGACCCGTTGTCCTGCTGGAAACTTCCAGATTCGCCCTTTGCTTCCTGCTGGTGTCGTCCAACTTGCTCCTTCAGCCCCTAGATTTCTTGTAAACTGGAAGTTAGTTATAAAGGCATCAGAGTTTCAGGCTCAGCCTCTGAGACAAGAACACCTAAGAGATGAGGCCCAGGAAGGACTTTAAAACCAGGGAGGAGAGGCGATGGTGAGGGCGCCTGGCTGGCTCTGTTGGTTAAGTGTCTCTTGATTTTGGCTCAGGTCATGATCTCGTGGTTCATGAGATCAAGCCCCGCGTCAGGCTCTGTGCTGACAGTGCAGAGCCTGCTTGGGATTCTCTCTCTCTCTCTCTCTCTCAAAATAAATATTAAAAAAAAAAAAAAACTCCAACCACAGGCAGCGGGCCAGAACTGCAGTGCCCCCAGGCTTCATGGGCGCGCCCATCTCCAGGGTCTGGTTAAGAAGCTGATTCTGCTCCAGCTGGTCTGGTCTGGGCAGCGAGGCTGGGCTGCAGGTCCGTGGCCCACACTTGGGTAGCTCAGGGAGAACTTGCTGAGCAGAGGCCTGGACCCTGGGGGTGGAGCGGAGGGAGAGCAGCGCTCATCTGCTAGTGTGGGTTGGGAGGTGGGCGTGGCATTGGATCCAGACCAGACACAGTGGCCAGGGTCACACTCTTCAGTCTCTAGGGGCGCTCCAGGCAACAGCTTTGTCCCAAAGTGCAGGGACATTATGGCCAGACAGAGCCTCAGGGTCTTGGAGAGAGAGTGCTCCGCGCGGGTGGTGGCCTCAGATGCCCCCCTGGACTGCGCCCCTAAGTCTTGGCCTCAAGGGCCCTAAGGGCCTGGCCGGAGGCGCGCTGAAGTGGGAGAGGAAGGAAGCGGGGAGCAGAGGAGGCCAAGGCTGCCGCCTCCCAGCCTCAAGAGGGGCCTCGAGTAAACAGGAAGGCCTGGCGGCTCCACGGTGGGGGGGCTTTGCAGGGGCGGGAGGCCAGAGCCCTACTGCACATGTGTGGCCTGTTGGGGAAGCTGACCCAGAGAGGTTGTGTGACTTGTCCCAAGCCACACAGCACAGCAGGGACACAGGGCTGGACCCTCACCTGCCTCTCCTGCTTCTTCCCTCTTCCTAGGGTTCTGGTGCAGGGTCTCCGGCCTGTGTTGCCCTCCATGGTTCATGGGGTGCTGGGTGGGCCTCAACTTCTCTTTCTATGAATTCGGAGCCCTATAACTTAGAGGTTCTAGGATCCTGACCCAGTAGGATTCTTTTGCCTCCTCGGTGGTCCTCATGGGTTTGTCAGACTTTGGGGAGTGGGTTTCATCAGAAAAGCCAACCTGTCCTTGGAGAATGACAGGGAGACTCTGAGGGACTTCTCTCTTCTGCCAGGGTCTGGCAGGACCATTGACTCTTGTGACCACCACGTACCCTTGGGGAGTCCTTCCCCCTTGTCAGAGACCCTGTCTTTGGGCTCAGAATGCTTCCAGCACCCACATCCTGATGCCTTAGAATCACAGTGTATGCACAGCCCATTCATTTACTGCATCAGTGTTTAACCAAACACCTCCCACGGGCCAGGTGCTATTTGAAGCGATGGGCATTTGGTAGCGAACAGAGCAAGGCCCTCGCCCTCATGCAACTTGTGTTCTAGAGTGGGAGACAGACAAAATAAACAATATATAGGGTGTCAGATGGAGACCAGTTGCTGATGTGTGAGGAGGGGGCTATTTTAAACGCAACAGTCAGGGAAGTCCTCACTGACTATGCGACGTTTGATCTGTGACTTAAAGAACGAGGAGCAAGTCCTGTGGTTATCTAGGGGGAGAGTGTTTCAGGTAGTGGGAATAGCAAGTGCAAAGGCCCTGAGGTGGGCATGTGCTTGGCACACGCAAGGGAGGCCAGCATGGCTGAAGTGTGGGGAGCAAGGGGGAGAAGAGCAGAAGATGAGGTCGGAGAAGGGACGGGGAAGCCTCGCTGGCCATTTGAGGAGCTGAGCAGAAGGCATGGAATTTGGCTTCACTTTAACAGGCCCCCTTTACTGTGTACAGAAGGGGCTGGGGTAAGGGTGGAGGCAAGGGAGCTTCGTGAGGTGACTCCAATATTCTAAGAGGTTCCGGTACTGACCAGGGCAGAAGCTGTCAGGCAGTGGGAACCCCAGAAACACTGGGAATTTGGGGGAGCACGCCGCCAAGATTTGCTTAAAGGTTGGGCAAGGCGTGTGGGAGTCAAGGTTCACCTCAAAGCTTGAGCAAAGTGGGGAGGGAATCTGTCACATTCTGAAGATGGAGACAGAGGCAGGAGCAGAGGATCTGCAGCGCTTGATTCAGACGGGAAGTCTGAGCTGTTCCTTATTTGACATCCAGGAGCCTGGAGCCTGGGGGAGAGTTCTGGCTGGAAGC